GCAAAAATGGCAATTGCAACAACTACTGGGGTATCTCGCTACTAAGTGTAGCAGGAAAAGCTTTCGCAAAAGTCATCTTAGTGCACCTAGAACAGCTGGCGAATCAGGTGCTGTATGACTTGGGTAAGTCATTTAGAACATGTTTACACTTGCTTCAAGTTCATATGAGTTAGAGCTCTGTTTATAAAGGCTGGAGGAGAGGGTATTTCAGGAGAGCTGAGCTACAGTGGAGTTTCACAGGAACACATTATCAGCACTCTCCCTGATATTCTCTAGGGCAATGCGACTCCACATCACCCCCAATTCAGAGATGTACTTAAATCCCAAAATTCACTGCCAAGTGTACATGTCTGCTTGGGACTGTACATTATAAGTAGTGGTTATTAACTTGTTGAATTCAGAATTGTAAAGGGATAGTAGTGATGCTTTATAAGATTATCCTCTGTAATGAGGCCAAGCCAAGGTCATTGTCACATGGCTAATTCCCATAGCAGGAAGACAACCAGTTCAATAAGTTAAGACTATCTAGAGCACCAGATTACTCTTTTCCCCTGGTCCTGAATCAACAGTCTTTGTGCTTGTTTCACCTTTTTGACCTCATTCTCCTGTTGATGTTGTCTAAATCATCTTTCTCATGTATTGGCTGAATGACTTTAACACACCAAAGTACGGGTCTGAAAATTGGCTTGTATCGTTCATGGATAGCTAGTAGTGAATAAAGTTTGATCTCCTACTTTACCTTTCATACAAAACAGAAATGTATACAGTCTCTTTTAACTGTCTGTGCTTATACCAATAGAGCAACTATACTGATACTTGATCATTGTGATGGAAGCCGTTAATTTTAGTTTATTTTCTTCTGGTAATATTTTCAAAAGTACATAAGTGTTTTAGGAGCCTAAGTCCAAAAGTGACTTGGGTACCTAGGTCCAGCTGCTCAAAGGTATTTAGGCACCTAACATATTGATTTCAAAGGAAGTTAGGTGCCTAATTTCCTTTGATGATCTTTGTGCTAGCTCCTAAGTGCCTAAATTTTACCCTTCTCCATTTTAGGGTGGAGGGATGTTACCTTTTTCCCTATAAGCGTTGTAACACAGGCATTAGATGTTGTTATGAAAAACATCCTTTTAAACCAAACATAATGGAAAAAGAGGAAATAAAATATTAAATTAACCATGAGTGTATATGCTTTGATAATGTTAAATCAGGAGCTGATCAAAAAATTGAATTTCCATGCCTCAGGAAATCCCAATATTTTGAATTTTTTTTTCTTTCTGAATCAGGAAAAAAAATCAATTTTTTTCAGAGATCAGAAAGTTGAGAAGAATTTGTAATCAATTTAGAAATCTTAAAACATTTTCTTATAATATTTTCAATTGAAATGAAATACTTTGACATTCATGAATTGAAGCATTTAATTTCTGTTTGTTGAGCAGAATTTAAATGTTTTGTTTTGACGCATGATATTGAAATGAATCTGCCGACCTGCCACACTGCCTCACAGGAGTTGTAGTTTGGGTTCCTCATATACCCATTCTCTTCTATGGATTGGGCTTCCCAGCCAGACTACATTTCATGTGATGCATTGCAGTCACAGGCTGTGATGTCTCATGGAGGTTCAACCATAGGGGAGACTGTGATGTAGCATGGAAGAGGTAGCTAACTGGGGAGAAGAATATGGTCATCTCCTATGTGACATCACGACAGCTCAAGTGGACACAGATTAATTGCAAAATGACAGGAAACAAAATGTTTTGACTCAGTTTGACAAATCAAAATGTTTCAATTTGGGATGACCCAGCCCAAAACTACATATTTTGTTTAAGTTTTCCCAACATAAAGATGAAATTTCTGTTTCATAGAAAACATTTTGAAGGACAATTTCCATCCAGCTCTAGTTAAATCATTGCTACATACATCATATTCACTCAGACAAATCCTCAGCTGGTTTAAAAGGGGGTAGCTCTGCAGAATCAATGAAGATATGCCAAGTCATAGCAGCTGAGGATTTGGCCCACTGTTTGCCTACACTGAATACTGCAATGTTACATGGGGAAGAAGATACCCCCTCTCCACATTTCTCCTATGGAAAAGGCAATTTTTCATGTACCATCCATTCAACAAGAAATTTGAAAATGTTCAGTTTTATTGTAAATACACCAGGAAAGGAGTTTGAATTAAATTGTGCATAGATTAGGTATGGTTTTATTTTAAAGAAAGCAAAGCATTGACTATGTACAGATATATAAAGAATATTACACTATAAATAGTATAAAGACTATGCTAATTACAGATATATAATACAGGTGGTAGGGGCAGGGCCAGTGGATCTGCAACTAACTGGATTCACTGTCCCACTTCCCCAAAGCTAGGAGAATACAGCAGCTCTCTGGGTTGGCATAGCCCAGAGGCTGGAGTAGTAGCTGCAAAAAAAAGTTCTGCTGCTGCTCCATAACCTGTAGGAAATGAATTCATTCCATTCACTCCCCGCAAACCTTTCCCAAATACACACTATTTACTCGGGCTGTGCAAGCTTTACCACCTTCTATCCCATTTTGTTTGCACTGTTCTCTTTCCATTATCAAGAATGGGGTTGAGAGGAAGAGCTCCAGGGAAATATTAGTGCTTAGAAAGGTTAAGTGGCATTTTGGAAGCAAATTAATTTATTCATCTTCAGGCAAATCAAAGGCAGGGACCACAACAGTGTAAATGTCCTAAAGAAACAATTTCATCCAGTCTGTGGGGAATCCATTGCATGAATGACCAGTAATATCTTCATGTCTTCCCTACCAGAGAAGAGATTATAAGCTATGAAAGTCTCTATGGGGTCTGTTTTCCCTGGTGATTAGTGTAACTCTTATTAAAATCACTTGGAGTTACACTTACGAAAGGGGATTTCTGATCCAATACCCATTGAACCTGGATCAGGCCCTCAGAGGAGAGGAGGCATGTTTATGTTAGACTTTTACAGTTTAGTCCATTCTTTATGGATAAAAAAGGATATTTTCCAAATACATTTCAGATACTAAAATGATCTTGATGGCATTAGTCACTGATACCTTTGCCAGGTGTCATTCTCAAACACTATGTGTTTGGGTCACATAATGCAGTGTGTGAGTGAATGTAGGCCTGAAGGAATGCACCTTTAACTCTGTTCCTATCAAAATATGATGTGAATACTTCACATAGCACCACTTTCAAATGTATCATTCTATTGTTTTCCCATAAGCCTCCTTTGCCTTCTTATATTCGTCCACCTGTCAGATAATATGCAATGATGATAAGCGGACACTTCATGGGATTAAATCTTTTGACTGCCCCATGGATCATATAAAGCATATCTCCATTTGGATGATTCAGAGGAAAGGAACAATGTAACACTTGTACTGAGCTAATTTACGTTTGACCCACTTACATGTTCAGCATGCTTAACAGCCAAAATGCAGCCGGAAGATTGTACAGGTGATGAATTAGCAATGCTTCATCAGCATTCTCAAATAGCATTGTGCTAAATCCCAGCTCCAAATTCACGTTTCATGCAGCTGAGTACTCTTACCAACATTTTTCATAATTTCTCTGTAGATGCAGATTGTGAACATGCCTTTAACCAACACATTTTTACAATATTTACTTGAAAGAAGTCGATTACTTAGGAGGCTGATAAGGGGTGTCAGCTGCTTTCATTTAAGATCACTAATTTGAACACCAGCACTCTTTTGTAACGAATAAGGCTCTATATATGTCACAGCCCTGACTTTGGTGACATAACACATGACTTTGTAACGTGGCTTATCTGTGAGACATCATCAGATGCTGCGCCTGTGTTTGCTGATGGTGGTCTAGTGACATGACACTGAAAAAATGGATCAAATCTCTAAAAGATATTTTTCAATATTTTCTCTGCCATAGTTAATAAATGTTGGAGGAGAAATTATTATGGAGAGTTGCCCCTTGAAGAGTTAGGGCCCAGTCCTGCAAGCTGAGCTGCACAGGTGGTCCCTGCAGCTGTGCAGAAACCTGTTGAATTCAGTGAGGCACCACACAAGGGCAGGGATCCTCCTGTGCAGGTCAGTGTGCAGGACTGGGGGCTTAATGGATAATATTTGGAGACAAAGTTCAGTTATTGAAGTGTGAAATACTATTTCCTGCTTCTAGTGCAAATCTCAATTTTCTTCAGTATTGTTGCATCTATTTATGTATTCCAATAGATTAGAATTTAGAAGAAATGCAAAATGTTTTTTACCAAAAAAAAAAGGTACTCAGCTGTGGGTTAAATCCTGCCTGTGCAAAACAGAACCAAACTGGGAGTGGGAGGGAAGCTGGGTGGGAATAATGATACCTCTGTGCCAGAGAAGCATATTTGGCAGTCTATATATATAGCATGTTCCTCAAGCTTTTTCAGGTTGTTAAACCCTTATTCAAAGTCTAAAAATGTCACGACATCTTCACATTCACAATAAAAGTAAGAGCAAAAAATTATATTACAACTACTGCCACCACTACTACATTTGACCCGACAGACTTTGAAGGTTTGGGCCATTCTAAAGTTTTTTTGGACATTTTGTTATCCGTGCTTTAGAATTGTAATAAAATTGTCAACAGCTTGCACCCCCTGCACCTCAATTGCCTTTTGTGATTCCCTCCTCCCTGACCAGCTAATTAGTTAAGTGCTGATTCAGAGAAACATCCCTATTCAGGCAATAAGCACTTAAACATGTGCCAAAATATAAGCACATGCTTAAGTGCTTTACTGAATCATCAGTGTCTTAAAATAGAAGTAAAATGTTCACCTCTTCTCCTTTTTAAATGTCTCTTATTCTGCAGTTTGGAAATTGTTATATATTTCTTTGCCCTCACAGGTTTGAGTAAGACTTCAGGTTTGATCTCATAGTTATGTAAACTATACTTCCCAATAACTATTTAACAGTTTAGGACATATATTTTGATTTCATGCTGAATTGTGGCAGTTTGATAATAACATGTTTGTTTGTTTTAAACAGGACGCAGTCTGCTAATGGATCAGCTCAAGCAAACATGTTAAAGGATAGAACACATCTATCTGCAGAAACAGACAGCAAAAAACACCATGAAATGAAGACTTCACAGCCCAATATATTAGTTGATCCAGCTGATAAGGTATAATGTGTCTCAAAACAGCAGGGAATTTCTTAAAGTTTGAGTGAAATCTTGTCCAATTGACTTTGATGGGAGTGTTCCCACTGAGTTTTATAGGGCCAGTGTTTCATCCCCAAAATGTAATTTTAGGCCAGGTTTTCAGTGGGCCTCCAAAAATACATTGACAAAACAGAGGGTACTGTTTGGTGGTTTGCTGTTTGACATTTTTATATGACCAAGTGCTCATATTTAGGCTAAGGGCATGAAAAATGGATGTGCTAGCAATTTCTGTAGCACATCTTTAGAGGTCCGCAGAAAATGTATGCATCTTTAGAGGTGTGCAGGTATGTGGGGCTCTCTTATATCTCATTAGTACAGGAGCTTTCGTTCAGTAATTTTAAGCATATGCTTGTCTTCTAGTTTAGTAGTAAATGTAAATAAATAAGCAAATAAAATTCTTGCCTCAGAAATAGGAATGAATAAACAGATTCAGATCAAGAAAAATGTATCACCCACCCCTGAAACCAAACATCAACTGAACCTTTTTTCCTTTCCCTGGGAAGAGCTAGAGGAGGAAGGATTATGTTAGATACAGGAGACCCAGAGATATCAGCAGAAAGGTAGCAATAGGCTGGAGTAAATCCATGGATCCAGAATAAATGGGAAGTAGAATTGTTTTCAGATAAGGGATGATACATTTTCTTTGTCCATATGAGAAAGTAGGCAGTGTTATTGTGCACAAATTGGGTAACAGGGACTTTAGGTCACCATACAAAAGGGAATTATAATAGCCACGGCAAGAAGAGATAGAGGAATGGGTGAGGTTTTCAGCAAAGATGGAGCAAAGGCATTGCCGTACATGAACAATAAATAGGCGCTCAACCTGCAGTCGGATCCATGAGAACAAACACCCTGCCCATTGCATATCAGGGCCATCATCTGTAAAGTATGGCCCTGATATGCAATTTTTGGATGAAAGCAGCAATATACTTGTATTGTTACTATCATTAATCAGCCACGGTCCTCTAAAGAAAGCCACTAGAGTCCCAAATAAGCAACACATTTTAGTATGGGCATGAGTGTTTTGCTGAATCAAGGCCTAGATTTAGATGTGAAATTAATGTTAACTTTTCTCTCTTCTGCTTAGGATCATCCCAATGGTCCCCAGATACTACTCTGCATGTAATTATTTTACTATGTTTTAGAAGATAATGAACAGATACAATGTACTTCTTTGTACTTAACATTTTTTAAAAAGAGCTAATTAAGAAGCAGTTGGAACGATCCAGATACATTTATGCCAGACTGTTCTTCACTTTTGGTACAAAGATCTTTCATAACTATTACAATCCTGCATTACACATTTGTTTAGACTTTTGGTAGTACATATCACCATTTAATATCATGTTCCAAATGATGTTTCATTTTATTCTACCCCCTTTCTCATAGTGCCACTAAAGCAATTAAACCTGGAGATAATATCTGTTGCAAAAGCGCATCACATTTTGCTTCTGAAAGTCTGAAAAAGATGCTTTTCATCTTTTAGTAAAGAGAAAACACAGAGGAAGTCAGAAACAGTTTTTTTTTTAATTCTAGAATATTAAGTGAAATATAAGAATAGAAATACTTACTCCATTTTATTTATTCATATTTTATCCCATCTATACATGTTGCATATTTAGCCATTGGCACAGATACTTAAAATATGATCATTTCCTTCCATAGTACTCATCTGAATTAATTGTACTTCTTTTACATGCTAACCCTTAGATATTTTAAAATTTCTTGATTTGAAAATCTCTATCCTGGAATTAGGAATAGGTAAATAAAATGAATCTATGTGTTAAGAAATAAGGATTCAAACGTGACAATTGCACTTAGACCAAGATGTTGCAATATTTCTGACTGTCCTTTCTGCTGATATTCATAATTAGTGATCCCTGCACAAGCTTCATTTTTAAGACACAATGACTTAATGCCGGTTATCTATTTGTACAATTTTCAAGGTGACTTTGCAGCTTACCCATGTGTACAGCACCTGTAAAAATGTCTATAAATATTTTTCATATCAATAACAATTCTAACTGCATTTTCAGAAAAAGAGGTCTCATTTGTAGTGCTGTCGGATGATCTAATTTTAACTATTTCATTATTGCCCTGCAAATCAGACTATTTCTTCTGCTGCTACTCCTTTCAGATATTCCTCTCTCCTTTAGACTAATACCAGACACTCCCAAGAAGATGGATTTTATATATTAATTTCTCATTTGCAAAGGAACATGAGAGAAAAAAATACTTTATTTGGAATGTTTTTCATACTAAACATCAGAACAAGAAGAAATACTGAACAAACAGGCAAATGTAGATTATAAAAAACCCCAGAGCTGCTTCTTATGAATATAGCAGTTAAAAAGGACATAATTGTCAGGGTGCATGGAAAAATAACTTTCCCAAGGCATAAGAACAAATAGAACCATGAAAGCATGCAGACAGCAGAAAACAAATGACAACACAGATTCAGCAACGATTGAGAATCACAAAGATATTTCATTGACAAACTATTTGTGTCACTGTCACTGCCAGTGGCTAATGCAAAACTGTTTACAGGACTAGCAATGAGATTTTCCAGACTAGGTCTTCAGATTTTTTGCTTGCCTTCTCTTTTGTCAACATCACAACATATTTTCAAAGGAATGGGTGAATAATGTTACTGCAGTATAAGGCAGAATCGCAATGTACTATGTAGTAATACAGATTTACTGTAAGACATTACAAGATAACTGGAAGTCTCTAATGATCTCCATTTATCACTTTGAAATGACAAATTCACCTTCATCAGAGGGAGAGAACTATTAAATATTGCTATAACTATGGCTCGTCTTAAACTCTAGATCCGATAGAAAGGAAACTCAACTGCATGTTCTTTAAGGACTTGCGTGGTTGATCAATTTGCCATAAAGTTGAACTATTGACAGCTAATTCATATTGCCTACTTTAAGAATATAGTGGAGCTATCATAAATCAAGAAACGCTATCAAACTGTTTAAATGGTAGGTGAGGCCGGTGACATTGCTTATTATTTAGCTTTACCAACACTCCTCATGATAAGACCCTGTTTACAATTCCTTATAACTTTCTCAAACTTTAATCATTTGAGCTGAAATTTGCTATGCTAGGTGGCTGATTTAGGCTGATTTTGAGGGCGGGGGGGAGAGATTTTACCCAAACCAGTTCAGCCACTTCAAAGAATGAGGAGCTAGGGAAAAATACATTGTTTTGCCCATATTAAATTCTGGCAACCTTTTCTTCGAACAGTTCTAGTGCACCCAGGTTTTGAAATTTGGTGGGGGTGGACCTCTGTGTCAGTGTTTTATGCTGTCCCCTGTGCAAATCTACCCAAATTTGGCTAAATTATAAGCCTTTGGAAAATCACAGTTCACATATAAGCAGTAAAGACTTACTAGACCCTCACAGCAATGTAACCATGCTGTATGTTCAGCTTAAAAGGAGAGTGATTGCATGCAAAGGTCATGCCAGTTGTTATGAAATATCTTATTATGTTTGTCTTGTTGAACAAAAAGGGGGAGATTTTAGATGATAAAGATAAATCTTACAGCGCCATGGCAAGAGCCATTCAAAATAGCTGAGTTATAAATAAAAACACTTGAAATGTTTCAATTTTTTTTTTCAAGTTTTGCAGAAGTTCATTGGAAGTTGGTCATCTCCTCACCCCTCCCCCGCTTCTCACTCCCCCACAACCTATATAATTGACAATATCAGCACAGCTTTTGTTGTTGTGGTTTAGTTCAGGACTGTGCATTTGTGACTAGATGGCTCTCCTAGTTTTTTTTTTGACTGCTCCTGCCATGGAGTGCTGAGTTCACTGACTTAAGCTGAGTTACTCTGGATTTATACTACTGAGAGGTGAACCAGACCCACTGTGTGTGTAATATTGCAGATGCAATATAGTAGTTTCAACAATCTCTAGCCTCATTTATGAGATTAATTTTCATCCTGCACTAAAGCTTCAGAATTGGTGCCGATTTTTACAGCAAATGTAATAAGCTCTTAATAAAATTTAGTTTATTAATATTTTATTGTATGCATTTTAAAGTGGCTTTGTACAACATCCTGGGGTGATTGCATGGGGGATGTTCTCTAAATATTAATGTAATTAATTGTGTTTGCTTAATGAACAAGTATTAAAAAAGAAATAACGCACGAGCAAATTATGTCATTCTGCATAACATGGCACCAAGATTGTTGTTCTGTCATCAAGTGGTAAAAAACTAAGCATTGGGAGGGGAAATGTGTGTATGAGATAGAAAGGAGGAGTGGTACTGTGGTGGGGGGGTGGGGGTAGAACAGAGATGCCTGCCTAGCTATAGGGCAGTTCAGGGGAATAGAAGGGTCCAGACTGTCAAAAGCTAGATTGAAATGCAACAAGGAGCGGAAAGGGCCTTCATCAGCAGAAATAAGGAGGGTACTAACTACACAGAGGAGCGTGGTTTCCAGCTCATGTGAAGACCTGGACCAAACAATAGGGGAGGTAAGAGGTTAAGTGTCTAGGTATTTTTGTGAATGGAGCTTGTGATGATGGAAAAGTCAAGAGCATTGAAAAAATACATGGGAGTGGAGAAGAAAAGAAAAATATGACAGGGGCCTGTATTGTCACAAAGAAGGGCAATATTGGATTAAAGGTAGGAAGCAGATTCTTTGCATCTCACCAGGAATGGAGGATACATTGGAAAGATAGCATAGAGAATAAATGGCACACAAAAGGGACTAAGGATTGCCAGCACTTTTGGAAATAAGAGAAGAGTAGAGATTAAACTTTTCAGTCAAGAGTTTATTCCTGCAGAGTTTCTGATAAGACTTGCAGATCTCATAGTGGATATGATAATGGTGTAACATGTTGTTATTTTCTGAGGGGCTGACATGTGCATTTGAGGGTCTGTACTTGGTGGATATGTCAGAGGGAAGTTGAACAGTAGGCAGAAGTGCAAAGTTTGCTTTCGGCAAGATAATTAAGTGTGACAGAATATACCCCTGTGTTCACAACCTACACACTATTGTAATAATGTTTGTCTAAGATATACTTTGTGAGGTATCATTTAAAAACTCATGATTTGCTGATCAGTAACATGGCAAAAATGCACATGGCAGCATTACATGTGAAGTTATAAACATAAGCTGATATCATGACTAAAAGTATGTTTTCCAGATAAGTCTGGAGAGTGGCCAAATCAGTTCCTCAGAGACAGAGGGCAAGCTGATGCCTCAGATAGGTGTAAACAAGGCTGATGGACCATTACCTGCTAAATGTCCATTCTGTGGCAGGAAAGGGGGCCGGGGCAAAAATCTACATCTTAGCAAAGAAACAGCGTGGAGTTTCCTTCCACACAGGAAGGACTATAAAAAGAAGGGGCAGACACCGCATTTACTGTACCTGAAGAGACAAAGGAAGCAGCTATTGGACTCTGGGTAAGGGATCCTGACCTAAAGGGTTTAGTCATTCAGACTGTTGAAAGCATTTGGTGAGAAAACTTTGCTTTGAATCTAATGTAGTTTAAGTTAGGCATCAGTAAGTGTTTTATCTTTATTTTTCTTGTAATCATTTTTTGACTTTTATGATTTGTTACTTGTACACCAGGGGTCGGCAATGTTCGGCACGCGGCTCGCCAGGGTAAGCACCCTGGCGGGCCGGGCCAGTTTTATTTACCTGCTGACGTGTCAGGTTCGGCCGATCACGGCCCCCACTGGCCGCGATCAGCCGAACCTGCCGCATCAGCAGGTAAATAAAACTGGCGAGCCGCGTGCCAAATGTTGCCGACCCCTGTTGTACACACTTAAAATCTCTTTTTAAAATTAATAAACTTGTTTCATTGTTTTATCTAATTCAGTGTGTTCAAGTTCAAGCATCTGGGTAACTCCATTTGGGATAACAAGTTGTGTACATATTATTCCCTTAAAGGAATAATGGACTTAATATATTTGTACTGCCCAGGAGAGGGCTGGTCAGTACAGGACATACATTTCTGGGGGGATATCTGAGTCTGGGAGAGTGTTGGAGTCAACCTGTGATAATATTTAAGGCTGGTAAGAGCCAGGGTGTGCCTGGCTAGCTACAGCGCACACCAACATCGCTGGGAGTGACTTACACGCTGGAGGCTGTTTGTGAGCAGTCCAGATTGGAGGCTATAGCTGCAAGGCATTGTAAAGGGCACCCCAGGTTATTGGGCTGGCGTGACACATCGACTCATTGGTCTGGATTGTATCCTGGTATGTCACAATAAGTCAGAGAGAGAAAGGGATAAATGCAAATCTCAGTAAAGTAGGGAGTCATCCCTGACCTAAATCGGTGCATCTCTCCTGACTTCAGTGATATCACACTCTTTTAGGCCAGGCCTTAAACTGGCACAAAAGGAAGCAAAATCAAGCTGTAGAGTCTAGTGAGATCCAAAGAGATGCAGTTTCCCACCTGTGCTTTTGAGTAACAGCTAGCTTTCACTAACTTACAAATATTGTCAATTACTGTATTCCTTTAATCAGGCATTTTGGTTTTAAAATTGTAACTGACACAATATGTCTGTTATCTTTATATCAGATTGTTTAGTTGGTTACAGTATCTCTTATGTCAACATTAATTTTCAGAATGTGCAAATTCTGTTACATTAGAAAACAAAATTTATATGCCATTTTCCATGCACACAGTGCAATTCCCCCCTTGTGTGTCATGGGAGCTGCTCCAATTGAACTGACTGTTAGCGAAAATGTTATTGCATACAACTGAAGTATAATGTTGTCGAGTTCTCGTGACAAGCAAGATGATGAAGAAATCCTCTAAAGAGAGTTCATGCCTTTTCCTCCTGCCCTTTCCCATTACAGCTTTAAACTTTAAGATGGAAAATTCTCTATACCAAAGGAAAAAAACACAAAGACCCTAATTCTGATCTTACATATATCTAATTTACATTTGACTTCAGTGATGATTAGATCCAGGCTCAAAACTTAAGGCAAAACCATGCTTTTGGTTTTCTTTCTGGTTTATGCTAGGGTCACAGATCACTTATGAAAGGCTGCCTACACATAATACATAGATTGCTGTAAGAGCACAGTTTGCAACACAGCTATATCCAGAGGGCTCTGAAATGAAGGCAGAGGACCTCCAGGATTTTGGTGGAAAATAATCCATTTAATATTTTCCCATAAATTGTGGGGTGTTTAAGGGAGATTTCCAAGGTAATTTATATACAAATGTATATATATTATATTTAAATTGAGCTATGAAAAAAATATTTTTTTTTAAAAAATCAACCTTAAACTCTTCTGGCTTATTAAATTGCAGGCATATCTTCCCTTAAAGATATTTCTCCAAGGGATATAACTCAGTACAATATGCTTTATTTGCACTTGGTTTTAATGCCTCTATATAATGCTGGCTGATTAATTCTGTTTTAAAAGAAAGCACTGCTAGCATCTGATCATTCGCAGGCTCTACAAAGATTCACATATGCAGAAATAATTTTCAAGAGCTTGTATTTATCCCTTCCAAAACACTAAAAAATAAAAGTGAAAGGTAAATCAATGAGAATGTTTGAATAATTGAAAAGAAAGGATGATGATGTGGATGCGATTGCTGATTTAGAGTCAGACTCCTAGTAGTTATATTTTTGGATAGGTTTGCATTTTGATGTATGTTGCAAGAAGTGAATAAATGTGTTGATCGCAGCCCTGCTACACACATTAATATTTTATCATGGAGTTTACAAGAATAATACACCATTTAAAACTCACAAAACAAAAATGAGTTTTGCGGCCAAATTGTGACTTGAAGCCACTGATTCCCAATGAGGATGGTGCAGCTCCACAACCTTTCCTGCAGCAACAGGAAGTGCAGAAAACGTGTGTGTAGTGCAGTTACTTAGGTTCCACCAGCCATAGGTGCTGGAATTAGAGGTGCGGGGGTGCTGCTGCACCCCCCTGACTTGAAGTGGTTTCCATTATATACAGGGTTTGCAGTTTGGTTCAATGGGTCTCAGCATCCCCACTAAAAGAATTAATCCAGCAGCAGGTTCACCAGCCCTGTCCTCATCCAGCCCTGTCATCTGCCCTTTCTTTAGCACTTCCCACATGACAGCAGGCAGGCAGTCCCCATTTGGGTTGTGCTTTGAACCATTCAGAGGTGCGCCACCTAAGTAGTCTTCCCATGCTGTGCCTCCCAGCATGGTGCAGTGTACCAGTTCATAAGAACATAAGAGCTGCCATACTGGGTCAGACCACAGTCCGTCTTGCCCAGTATTCTGTCTGCAACGGTGGCCTGTACCAGAGCTTCAGAGAGAGAATGTACATAACAGGGCAATTATTGAGTGATCCACCCATCTTCCACTCCAGTGAATTAGGGTCACCCCGAGCATAGAGTTGCATCCTTGGCCATCTTGACTAATGAAGAAATCTATGGACCTATAGACCTATCCTCCATGAATGTATTCAGTTCTTTTTTGAACCCAGTTATATGTTTGGAAATCACAACATCCCATGGCAATAATTTCCATAGGTTAGTTGTGTGTTGTGTGAAAAAGAACTTCTTTTGTTTATATTAAATCTGCTGCCTATTAATTCCATCAGGTGACCCTCTGGTTTTTTGTATCGTGGGAAACACTTTATCTATTCAGTTTTTCCACATCATTCATTATTTTATAGCCCTCTATCATTCCCCCACATCTCTTTTCTAAGATGAACAGCCCTAGTTTATTTAGTCTCTCCTCATATGGCAGCCGTTCCATACCTTGATCATCTTTGTTGCCCTTCTCTGAACCTTTTCTAATTCCATTATTTCCTTTTTGAGATGGGGCAACCATAAGTGGACACAATAGTCAATCTATGAGCACACCATGGATTTATAAAGTGGCATTCTGATATGTTCTTTCTTATTTTCTATCCCTTTCCTAATAGTTCCTAACATACTGTTAGCCTTTTTTGACTGCTGCTATGAGTTGAGCAGAAGTTTTCAGAGAATTATCCATGGTGACTTCAAGATCTCTTTTTTAGGTGATAACAACTAATATAGAACCCATTATTGTATATGTACAGTTGGGATTATTTTTTCCAATGTGCATTACTTTGCATTTATCAACATTGAATTTCATCTGCCATTGTGTTGCCCAGTCACCCAGTTTTGTGAGATCCCTCTCTAACTCTTTGCAATCTGCTTTGGACAA